GGAATATCACAGATTTACAAATACAACTAGCACACATCCATAAAAAATATTTCTATACACAATACATTATAAGAAAGGGCCATAGATCGCCAGCAACTGACGGCAGACCACCATACTAGGGATCATGGGGACTTACACAATTTTTGCTATCTGCATGGACAATAACTGCATTAACACCATTTCTTCATATGCTAGCGATTGTTGACGAATCTAGCCAAGACACATATCCTACGATTAAAGAAAGTGATAGTTCTAAATCTACTTTGAAGATTTCAGGACCAACATACCCTCTCAGGAGGAAACATTTTTACAGGCCTGTTACGGAAAAGGTTTATACTGATATTTATATTTTCCTAAGCATATAACATATAATACCAGAAACAGTGAAACTACAGTTCTAAAAACTCGAACTGTTTCAAAGTTCTGTGTCTGCTTGACGTATAATTTTTATTATACATATGCTATTTGTATAGCGCCAATAACCGCCAATAACCAGCTCAGCTGCTCAAAGACATTTTGTTTTTCCCTCGATCATAGAATGTCCATCTCAACGCCACATCGTATTTTTCAATCTCAACTCCCTGGGGATCGGCTTTCCATCCTTACGAGGTACCCATTCACAGCTGGGTAAAGTCACAGTACTTTGTCCAAGTTCACTGCACGTTGCTGTACCCGCAAATATGTGTTTGCACATATTCATGTGGCCACATCTGGTCATTTACCAACGGATTCGTGGGTTCATTTAAGTTCACAGGGTTGTGTGCCGTACACTAGGGTTTGAGACAACACTAAAAGAGTCTGCATACAAAGATGGCTCTAAGGTTTTTACGCCAGGTCACAGGTGGGTCGATGCCAACACCTTAAGCTCGCTGGATCACTAGCCTGGCGCCTTAGATCTTTTGCCCACTCGTGATGTATGCATAATGTTACTTCCTGGTTTATAATATGCATGGGGAAGCTTGTGATGTATAGCACACCCTATTCTTATATATTCGACTGTACATGAATTGCAAAATCATATCAGCCTTAAACAAAATGTCTGGCCCAGACTTGAATATTCGATTATATCATAATCTAAATCTACGTACATTCGTCTAAATATGACACAAATGATGTCATTTAACGCAGTGCGAGGGATTAACTATATACCATTATTGACATATGTCAGATTGTCAATATATATTAAACTGAATACTTTTGGACCAATTCCGATTTATGTGAAAAAGAGTGAGTGAGTTTAGTTTTACGCCGCACTCAACAATATTCCAGCTATATGGCGGCGGTTTGTAATATCCAGTCTGGACCAGACAATCCAGTGATCAACAGCATGAGCATCGATCTGCGCAATTGGGAACCGATGACATGAAGTCAGCGAAACTGACCACCCGATCCTGTTAGTCGCCTCTTACGACAAGCATAGTCGCCTTTTATGGCAAGCACATGGGTTGCTTAAGACTTATTCTACCCCGGATCTTCACGGGTCATGTGAAAAAGAAATTAATCAGCAAGAACACAAAAGGTTCCCTAGTTTTTCGCTAAATTTCCCACCTAAATTTTGATGCATGCTGTACTGTTAGAAAGTCAAGCATTTGATCGTTTTCTTAGTTTACTTCTGATGGCATTTGCTTTTTTAGTTTTTACAAGTTTTGCGGAAGCTTTGCATATAGCTATATCTATGGTCGCAACGTTTAGTCCCGGCGTACCACCTGTGTAATGAGGAATTAATTCAGCACTGGGTACACTGTACACAAACATTGTCAGTAATAGTACGTGTGTCCAATACATTTCATTCATATATGACAGACAAACATTCCCTTGTCGGCTTACAAGGATTCCAAGTATCGACTTTTGAAAAGAAGAAATACCAGTGTTACTGGAGATGCTGCAAAGGAAAGTGCACTGCTATTATTCCAAACCAGCTACCTAACCTTCCTCAACACCCTGAAGTAGAAGCCCATAGCAATGAATTTTCAACTATAACGAGATCTCATGGTCACCGACTTTAATGTAGCCACGCAACAAGCTGCAAAGCATTTCAAGCGTTAAAGTTTGAGCTGAAAGATTGCCTCTTCCATTACCGTCAGGGTATATGGCGAAGTGTGCAACGCTTTGGACTGCAAGTGAGATTTAGCACTACAGATTTTATTCACGCTTCCGTGACTCTACAAATTGAGTTGCCTTTCTTTCACTATTAGGTTGTAATTGTCCCCCGCCGCAACGCGGAACGGGGGACTATGTATTCAGCGGCGTCCGTCCGTCCGTCTGTACGTACCGATTCTTGTTAACGCGATATCTCATGAACTGTTGCACCCAATGTCTTCAAATTTAGTGACAGCCTACATTTGGGGATTATGCAGACACCATTCGATTTGGGTGACCATGACCTTATTTTCAAGGTCACCACGACACTTTGACCACTTTTCAAACTCTTGTTAACGCGATATCTCATGAAATGTTGCACCCAATGTCTTGCAATTTGGTGACAGCCTACATTAGGAGATTACAAAGACACGAGACGATTTGGGTGACCTTGACCTTATTTTCAAGGTCACCACGACACTGACCACTTTTCAAACTGTTGTTAACGTGATATCTCATGCACTATTGTACCCAGTGTCTTCAAATTTGGTGAGAGCCTACATTGGGGGGATTACGCAGACACCAGTTGATTTTGGGTGACCTTGACCTTATCTTCAAGGTCACCACGATACTTTTACCGCTTTTTAAAGGCGATATCTCATAAAACATTGCTCTCAATGTTTTCAAGTATGTTGACAGCCTACATTGGGTGATTATGCGGACACCAGTCATTTCAGGCATCTTGCATGTGACCCAAAAATAAAAAGTAGTAAATATAGATATTCCATTCTTTAGCGGCGGGGGACATTGCCACATCAGTGGCAAACACTTGTTTTGGTGCGTTTTTGTAGCGGTATGACTTTTGTTTAATAGTTATCTACCTTGAGATTAAAGCACATGGCAGCAAAAATGAAAGCTCCATCAGTTTCAGCAAATGTAGATTATATATGGCCACAACCTAAAAATAAGTTGTGCAAAATAATTTTTTTTCTCAGGTTGTGTACACCGTAACTGTCAATATGTATACTTTATTAGTTGTTTATGTGTATTTTCAAATTGTTTCAACTTTGAATACTATCAACATTGAGGGATCCGTTTGAGGTTGCAATAAGTTTCAACATTGTTATTGCATTCATTGGTAATTTCACATACGTTGCTGTGTTTCACAGTGAATATTTCTTGGAATTGGTTTAGATTATGACTGACAATAACGTTCAAAACATGTAAGATTCAGTTTGATAAAATTTATTCACAATTTAACGTCTCTGTACATTACTAGCATCAATAGTGACTTTCTGTATTTTGCAGCTTTTACCAATTGCACATCAAAGGAACATTCAACTTTAATCGCTCTATTCAAGCAACATTGAACTGAGTAAATTACTCAAATCTACATGCGTTGGTTAACTAGCTGTCGCAGGACAGTACATTGAACCTGCAGTAAATATACTTCTGTGTTGCCTCTTGTGAAGCCTTGAAACACTGACGATGCTTGGCTAAATGCTGTCGAACTTACTGACCTTCAAACTTCAGTAATCTTGAATTATTTTGATTGTGTGACTGGTCAGTTGGTGGAGAACGAGGTCAGGGCCGGGTGGAACCATTGGGCCACCAAACAGCTATCTCTCCACTAAATGTATGAATGTCCATTACACTATCTGGAGTACACTTTCGGACAAAAATGTTGTTTATTGGAACTGCGGGATGGACTAATGGATAAGCTTTTGCTCGTCAAGCCATACAAACAGGTTCGATTCCCGACAAGAGTACAGTGTGAGAAGCCTATTTCTGGTGCCCCCCGCCGTGATATTGCTAATCCATACTCACTCACTCATTCTAAATATATGAGAAGATATCTTACATTCTTTGCAAAGATACCTCATTCCATTTGTCAAGAACAAAATGCAGAAGCAAATAATAGTCCGATTGTTGTTTTTTTATAATATTCTGCACAAAGTTACACTGTTCATTAAACGAAATATATATAGTTTGGAAAACAGCGTTTTGTTCTGGAGGATTTCCATTGCTAACGAACTTTTCATCCGTATCACGTCAGAGATTCATAAACACAAAACGGTGTTTGTCACCAAGTGGGTGGCCAGCAAGAAGGCAGAGAGAGGAGTAAATATTTTGCATGATAGATCACAGAGAGTACTTGATGGCTGATCACATTCAGCAGCTCGGGCCATGAGCTTTGTTTTTGGGTGTGTTTTTTTCCACATCTGGCTTGTACTTTTTTTTTCTTTCTTTTTTTTTTTCCATGAAAAAATAAAGTTTTCCATCATAACATTCGTTACATAATGACACATACAAATACATGAATATAATCATCCAACATATCAGGCTGTGACACAGTTAAACCTCCGATATATAATGGTGTATAGGGTGTTGTGTGTAGTGCCACATCCAACATATCATGTTTTATCAACGTGCGCAGCATGCTGTATTCAGTGTTGTATATGGCCTCATATCAGACATAGCATGTTGTATATGGGTCACAACCAACGTATGTTGTATATTGCGCAACTTCCAAAATAAGTTGTACATAATGTCATATCTGATATATCATAAGTACAGTAGAACATGTATATAGCGAACACGGATATAGCGTACAAACGGATATAGCGAACAAATTTAAAAGTCCCGTCAATAGTCCTTTATAATATCATTAAAATTATATGCGAATAACGAACTCGTGAGACGCGAATTAACGGCTATAGCAAACAGATTTACTACCCCAAGCCCCAATTAACGACGTGATTAGCGAACTCACTCAGTGTCAGCTCAGCCACTTAGTGGTATACATCAACCTTGTTGGCGGCGAATCAACATTGTTTGATGGTCATTAATCAATAAACAAAACAAACATTTCGTGTTTAAAAGCTTGACTGGTATACAGGTCTTCGTTCACTCTCGTCACTATGGCGAGGCAAACGTAAAGCTATCACTTTTGACACCAAGCTTCAGATAATTCAGGCTGTAGATTCAGGTGTAAAATCTAAGACAAACATCGCTTTCGACTTTGGCATTCAAAATCCACTCTCAGTTCCATTATTAAGAATCGCTTCTGTTGACCCCGACCTCATCAATGATTGACTGAAAGCTCGCCTGCCTGGCTATCTTGAAGAGTACAAGCCTGATAACATCTTCAATGCTGACGACACTGGCCTCTTCTACAAAATGAAACCAAACAGAACTCTTCACTTTAAATCTGAAAAATGTAGTGGGGGGAAAAATTCTAAAGAGAGAATAACATTGTTGGTAGCGGCAAACATGTCCGGGAGTGAAAAACTTAAGTTGTTAGTCATAGGGAAGTCAGCAAAGCCTAGATGCTTAAAAACTGTACGCAGTTTGCCAGTAACGTACAGATCAAATGCCAAGGCCTGGATGACTGGTGAATTATTCACAGAGTGGATCAAAAAACCTGGAAAAGAGTATGACAAGACAAAAACGTAAGATCCTGATGTTTGTAGACAATTGTCCTGCCCATCCTGTCCTGACCAAGGTATAATAGCAAACCTGAAACAACTGTACAAATCACTCTCCTTGATACCATCCAGACGATTCATGCCGCTTGGAGACAGGTCACATCTAAGACGATCGCCAACTGCTATCGGAAGGGAGGCTTTGGCCTTCCTGAGCGAGATGAAGGTTCGTCAGACGATGAGACAGACAACATGGTTCTTTCCGACCTCAGAGTTATGTGGAATGAACTGTCAGATAAAGCAGAAGAAATCCCGGCAGATGTCACGTTGGACGACTTCATCAATGCTGATAATCAAGTTGTTACAGCCGAACGTCCTACTGAAGACGAGATTGTGACGTCAGTAGCCCAGCAGTTTGCCACGCCCACTGTCACATCCGCTCCCAACTCTGATAGTGAAGATGATGAACCTCGACCGAAGCAATCCTTTGCTGAGGCCAATGCAGCATTGGAGACACTACGTCATCTACTTGTTTGTGAAGGTACAGATAGTTCTATCTTCGACTCTCTTGCAGATGTCTGAGATGCAGTTGACAAAATGAAGTCTGCAAGACGTGGTGTGCAGAGCAAAATTGTGGACTTTGTTAAACGTAATTAAGTTATATACATGTATTGTTGAGATTGTTGTGATTGTTAAACATGTTCTAGCTAATGTCTGTGAATGATAAATTCAGTTTTTTAATGTTATGTCAATGTACATGTACAAGAATAAAGATTTGTAGCCTCAGCATATACATGTCTCTACATCTCTACAGTCCAAGATGGCGGTCAAATGTGAATAACGAACAACGGATATAGCGAACTAAATTTCTTGGTCCCTTGGAATTCGTTATATCCGTGTTCTACTGTATATAGTTTTCCATCCCATATGTCATGTTGTAAATAACATCATATATGAACATATCATATTGTTTATAGCACCACATCTGACATATCAAGCTGTATATTGTGTCACATCCAACATATCATGTTGTACATAGTGTAATTATCTGATATACATTGTAAATATGTCTTATCTAACATATGTTGTATTTAGTGCCACAATTATTCTGACATGTCATGCTGTGTTATATATTGCGCAACATCCGGCTTATTGTGTTGTATATTGTGTCTTATATCCAACCTATAATATGTGTTCCCAAAGTTACACTAGTGCCATTAACTAACTAGTCAAATATATAACTAAAACAAAGATAATTTTTCAAAAGGGGAAACAGATCAAGGTTTTATTAAAGAAGCGGTTGCTGCATACACAGGTCAGGTTTGAATACTGGGAATAATGGATGCCATTTATTAGCAAATTTCTTCATTTCATTCTTCCTTTTGGCAATGAAGCTTTGTAGCAACCCACTATGTAATAACAACGCACTATGTAATAAAATTTTCAGAGTCCAAAATTTTTCGGACTTAGGCGATTATATTACATAACGGGTTATTACAAACTGCGTTACACCAGTAGCAACCCACTATGTAATAACAACGCACTATGTAATAAAATTTTCAGAGTCCAAAAACATTTCGGACTTTGGCGATTTTATTACATAACGGGTTATTACAAACTGCGTTACACCAGTAGCAACCACTATGTAATAACGACGCACTATGTAATAACATTTGCAGAGTCCAAAAACATTTCGGACTTAGGCGATTTTATTACAAAGCGAGTTGGTACTTTTGCCTAAGGCTGGAAAATGACTGAAAATCAAAGTTGAAGATATTCCTTCCGGTCAGGACAATATGTGTTTTACCCCCTTAATTAAGTGTAAACTTCAGCTTAAACCCGTTCCATCTTATGAACTGTTAATATTTCGGAGTTTTCTGATGGTTTATTACAAACCGGGTTGAGTAGCGAAATGTAATAAGATTTTGCACATCTTAACGCACTATGTAATAAAATTTTCAGAGTCCAAAAACATTTCGGACTTAGGCGATTTTATTACATAACGGGTTATTACAAACTGCGTTACACCAGTAGCAACCCACTATGTAATAACGACGCACTATGTAATAAAATTTTCAGAGTCCAAAACATTTCAGACTTAGGCGATTTTATTACAAAGCGAGTTGGTACTTTTGCCTAAGGCTGGAAAATGACTGAAAATCAAAGTTGAAGATATTCCTTCCGGTCAGGACAATATGTGTTTTACCCCCTTAATTAAGTGTAAACTTCAGCTTAAACCCGTTCCATCTTATGAACTGTTGATATTTCGGAGTTTTCTGATTGTTTATTACAAACCGGGTTGAGTAGCGAAATGTAATAAGATTTTGCACATCTTAACGCACTATGTAATAAAATTTTCAGAGTCCAAAACATTTCGGACTTAGGCGATTTTTATTACAAAGCGAGTTGGTACTTTGCCTAAGGCTGGAAAATGACTGAAAATCAAAGTTGAAGATATTCCTTACGGTCAGGACAATATGTGTTTTACCCCTTAATTAATTATGTAAACTTCAGCTTAAACCCGTTCCATCTTATGAACTGTTAATATTTCGGAGTTTTCTGATGGTTTTATTACAAACCGGGTTGAGTAGCGAAATGTAATAAGATTTTGCACATCTTAACGCACTATGTAATAAAATTTTCAGAGTCCAAAACATTTCGGACTTAGGCGATTTTATTACATAACGGGTTATTACAAACTGCGTTACACCAGTAGCAACCCACTATGTAATAACGACGCACTATGTAATAAATCTTTCAGAGTCCAAAAACATTTCGGACTTAGGGGATTTTATTACAAAGCGAGTTGGTACTTTGGAAATATGTGAAAAGTTGGTCCCGCTTGGATCGCCTTTTACGATCCTGTAAGTGCCATCCTACCCTGTAACGGCGTTATCCGCCTATTGTGACAGGTACGACAAGTGAGGTTTGCCGTGGATCCATTCTATCCCGTATCCACTCGGGTATGTTGCTGTGTTTGTGTATTAGTACCTGTGTATGCATTTGTGTTTCCGTGTTGAAGAATGGTGGCCATATATGTGTTGTGGCTCACCCGTAACGTCCCTTAAACCCATACCGCTATAATAGAACTTACTAGCTGGCAATGTTTTCCGTTAGTAAAAGCCTACCAACCGCGGCAAGGTCGAGAACTATGTGGCAGGTTTGTTTTTGTTTTTGTTTTTTGTTTTTGTTTTTGCTTTTTGTTTTGTTTTGTATTTTTTTCTTCTTTTTTTTATTTCTTTTCATTTATTTATTTATTTTTAATTTTTAAAAAGGAAAACACGTGTGCCTAACACTAAGATATGACATATCCAATAAATATATTGTTGAATCTAGTTTTAATGTGGTAAAGTTATGTGTGCATTGTTCACATTGATATCTTGTATTGCATGCTGAGCATGGATATGAATATGTTATAATAGCAGCTACGGGTATGTTTTCAAGATATGTGATAAAGGATCTGATTTAATGTTAAAAAGGGGCCGTGGGGTAGCCTAATGGTTAAAGCGTTGGCTCGTCACGGCGAAGACCCAGGTTCGAATCCCCACATGGGTACTATGTGAGAAGCCCATTTCTGGTGTCCCTGCCGTGATGTTGCTGGAATATTGCTGAAAGTGGCGTAAAACCAAACTCAGTCAATCAGTAATGTTAAAAACTTGGACGACATTAGGGACGGTCTGTTTATATAACATCTTCCTTCATTTTACTTCTCATATTCCTTCATTTTATTTCTTTCTATGTTGCATTTAATGCCCTTTCCAATGGGTTTTAAGTTACGTAAAGACGATCCGATATCCTAACACTGTTCCTGGAATTCCTAACCAGTACTATGCCATTCTTTCCCACATAAACAAGAGGGGGAAAGCGAAAATTATGTCTTTGTTTGTTGAATTTTACGGCGCACCGACGCTGAAAAGGTCATAGAGCCCCCGATTGTGTTATATAAATTATCTTATCAATTGTTCGGAAAGAGACAAACCTTAAAATTATGTCACAGTATAGAACACAGATAATAACGTTTATCACAAACATATGAAAGTTACAATACAAGCATAATATTATATCTATGAATTTTAAATAGCACATATATACCTTTATTGGATTTTGCAACATCTAATCAAATATACTCGACTAAAGGTGGTGTTGTTTTTTTTATGCAACTTTGAAAATTTTCAGCCAGGCATCGCCTTGTTTGGGCAGATATATTAACTTCATTTTCGAGAATGTAAGAGATTTGTCTTTGTCCAGACACAGGTGTCTTCTCAGCAGTCAGCATGGTGATGTGTTCTACTGTTTAAATACTTGGTGTCATTTGAAAATATGAAGAAGACGTCTAAAGTCAAGCTGAATAATTACCAAAATATGTTTTGCTTTTCAACAGTATGAGTGCGTGTTATGTGGAAGAAACCGAGTCAACGAAATTTAATGTACATGTTCATGTGTGAAAATTGTTTCAAGAATACAGAGTATTTCAAATGTTAATTTACATCAAAGTTCTCTACTGTTGCTGCTTTGCAACAAAACTAAGATCCCAAACACAAATTCCCATGAATGAACTCGTCTAGTCTGTAAGTAAGTTTCAGTGTCTCAGTGAATGCAATCAGCGCCAATGAATTGCCGTTATTTCGTACCAGTCATGGTTAAGCTGGCGAAGTGTAAGCCATGCATGAATCCATGGTCTATTTGAACCAGAACAGACACTTCTGACATACATGACTAATCCACTTCCTCTGCCATATCTCACGTACAATCTACGTACACTTATATGTCCAGGAACGTGACCAATTACAGCGGGATTCAAAGTGGATCATTGGGTATCCTATTGCTTCTACTGTATTTCTGAAGAAAGTGCACACTGCCTCAATGTAAATACCATAAAAGGATACCTTTGCACAGTTGTCCTGATAATTCTATCTAGAACTAAATCAGGAAGAAAAGGGTAATCCTCCCCACTGTTTCCATTACCCGACTCCATTGAATCTAATTCATCTACTTGTCTTGCCCCGTTCGTATCTGCTCGATCGTGTGCGCTGTCGCTGTTTGAATCTCTACCTTCGTCGCCACAGTTTTCATCTGCATTTCGATATTGGTCTTTATCTTCGTCTGTGTTTTGCTCTGAGTCTCTTTCTTCATCAGGTTTTCGATCAGTGTTTCTTTCCTCGACTATATTTCGATCTGCAACTTTATATTTGTCCGTGTTTTGATCTGAGTCTCTGTCTTCATCTGCATCGTGATCTGAGTCTCTGTCCTCATCTGTATCTTGATCTGAGTCTCTATCCTCATCTGTTACTTGATCTGAGTCTCTGTCCTCATCTGTATCTTGATCTGAGTCTTTGTCCTCATCTGTACTTTGATTTATGTCTCTATCATTATCTGTACCTGTGTCTCTGTCCTCATCTCTACATAGATCTATTTCTCTATTTACATCTGTATCTTGATCCGAGTCTCTGTCTTCATCTGTACTTTGATTTATGGCCCTATACTTATCTGTCCCTGAGTCTGTGTCCCTCATCTGTACATTGATCTATTTCACTGTCCTCATCTGTACTTTTGATCTGTGTCTCTATCTCCATCTGTATCAT